CATTTATTAACAATTGCTTGTCCTGTGAATAACTCTTTGCAACTTTTAAAACAAACTTTGTGAATAATTTTCTGCCATGAGGCATTGGATCCTTTAGCACATGGCAATACTGGGCAATGGGTGTAAAGATGTACCTCACTATAGATATGAACCATGTTTTATATCTTAAGACACATGTTTTGGATTTCAAACTTTGAAGGAAAAATACATCTGAGGAAATTATCCCCTTTCCTTCCTTATCACCCAGCTCCTGCCCTGGAAGCAGATTGATAAATCATTAAGACTATCTCTTCCTTGAGGAAATAGATTCAGTTTACACCAGTAAAAGTGTAGCTTTGGGAAATCCATTTTGTCACATCTCTTGGCTGGTAAAGGTCTAGTTGATAATGTATTTGGTCAGTGCATTCCTATGTGTTTACCTTTGTATTGAACATGAATTGGCATTCTTGAATACACTGAATGGCAAACCTTGTATTTGAATGGAGCTGAACACTTAACTGCTGGCAGTAGCTTTCTGTAAGCATGCTGATCCTTGCTCAGTTTACTAATGGTATAGGATTTTTTTTAAACAACAATGGAAATTATTGGTTAAAGTGATGTAGTACATTCCCATTCTTCCTATTGACATTACCCCATATGAAGAAACAACAAAACTCAATCAAAAACCTTATCTTTGAAATTATTACTAACATTTGATGATGATGATGACAACATCAACAGTAAAGATCTGATCAAATCAATAGTTGATTATTAAAATCAGTAGTTTATTTCAGTAATAATCTAACGTCGACTTGAGTAAAGGTATTTCTTTCCCTCTTTGGCAAAATGTATTTTACTTCTTAAAAATTCAGCTATAAAGAATTTTCATTGTTTAAGTTTTTTTATATCTGTTCCTCTTTGGTTATTAGGGTAGGTCACATGGGGAAAGTGGGGTTTACAGCTTTTGTGATTCTATACTGCTTCTTCTAGCTACTTTTGGCTCTTGTACTTGAGACAACTTTTGTAAGTAAATCCTGGTTCCCTATACCCCTGAAAAAGTAGCTCTACTTGCCCAGCTATCAGAGTGAATTGATGGTGCGCTTGGGGATTGACAGAGAACCCATTTTGTTGTCTACCCTCAATGTAGTCTACCAAGACTTTGAAAAGAGCCAGAAAAGTATTTGAGAGATAGTAGGAACTGCAGATGCTGGAGAATCTGAGATAACAAGGTGTAGAGCTGGATGGACACAGCAGGCCAAGCAGCATCAGAGGAGCAGGAAGGCTGACGTTTCGGGTCTAGACCCGGATGTGCGCTAACTGCAAAACACTTTTTTAAAAAAGTTTGTTTAATAAAAGTGAATAGAAACAATGCAACTTATTTTTGTACTTGTTTGTCTTAACTTGTCCTTTGTGGAGCAGAAAATACATGATGTGCAATTGTATTGTATCTTAATAATCTCATAGCAATCCTTCTGCTTTTCTCAGCTTTTATCAAATGTATCGGAATAACTATTTCTGCTTAAGGACTCAGGAAGACCTCTCGATTTTGAACTTAGAAGTTTGATAAATTACTGTTTAAGGAAAAGTGACTATAGTGATTGTAACAAGGTCAGCTAGGAGGGCCTCATAGAAAATGACTTCCCTGATTAACAGTCACAATCAGATCCAATCAGGGAGACCTGGCTGACAGATAAAAATAGAAGTGTCAGACATCCTAACACTCTTGGGAGTTGATTCAATTAAGTTGTACCAGAGTCAAGGACTTTTCGCTGTAACTAAAGGATGTTTTGATGACGGAGATACCAGCCTCTGTGGTGTTATTTCAGTGGCAACGAGATTAAAGCACGTCATGAAAACCACACTGCAACGGTCGTTTTTGGGTTGGGGTAAACATTGCTTAAGTCAGGTCATATTTTGAGAAGCATGGCATGCTCAGTCCTGCTGTCAAAAACTGGGCCCAGTAAGTGGAAAGAATGTGTTTATTTTCTGGGTAAATGACATTGGGGTAGATGAAAATCAACAAGTAATTCTCCTGACAGCTTGTGGAGCCGCAGCTTTTTCAGTTATTATGAGCCGAACTTTCCCTGAGGCACTGGATACTAAAACTTTTCAAGAGTTAACAGATTTAGTTAAGGAATATTACGACTCCAAGCCTCCTGTAATTCTGAGACGCTATTGTTTTTACTCAGCAATTCAAGAACCAGGGAATCTATGCTGGGATTTTTGACTAGGTTAAAAGGCAGAGGCATCTGACTTTGGTTTAACCCTTAATGGGGCGCTGAGGGACTGGTTGGTATGTGGGATTAATGACGTAACCATGCAAAAGTGCCAACTAGCTGAAGCCCAAATGAACTTCAAACAGGCAGTACAACTGGCTTTATCATTGGAATTGCATTTTGGTAATACAAACAAGGACAATAATTGTACAAGTTATGGTAGGGACCAGGGTAGTGTTGTAGAACAGATAGACCTAGGGGTTCAGGTACGTCATTTTTTGAAATTTGCGTCACAGGTAGACAGGGTGGTTAAGAAGGCTCTTAGCATGCTTGCCTTCATTGCTCAGACCTTTGAGCATAGGAGTTGGGATATCATGTTGAGGTTGTACAGGATGTTGGTGAGGCCTCTTTGGTAGTACTTTGTGCAGTTCTGGTTGCCATGTTATCAGAAAGAGATTTATCATGATGTTGCTGAATGGAGGGTTTGAGTTATAAAAATAGGCTGGGACTTTTTTTACGTAGGAGGTTGAGGGATTCCCTTATAGAGGTTTATAAAATCATGAGAGGTATAGATAAGGTGAATGACAAGGGTCCTTTAAGGTGGGCATATTTTTAAGGCAAAAGGAGAAAGATTTAAAAAGAACATGAGAAGTAACTTTTTAATAGAGAGTGGTTAGTGTGTTGAATGAGCTGCTAGAGAAAGTGGTGGATGCAGGTGCAGTTACAAAGTTTAAAAGACATTTGGATAAGTTCATGAATAGGAAAATTCTGGAGGGATATGGACCAAGTGCAGGCAGGTGGAACTAGTTTAGTACGGGAACATGGTTGGCATGGACTGGTTAGACGTAAGAGTCTGTTTCCATGTTCTGACTCTGAGTGACAAATTTCGCAACAATTTATTCCACAAGAGATGAAGTTTGCGAATTGGTCGGCAAGTTGACTCTGAATAGCTAAGGTATTGTCATAGAGAGAGAATCAGGGGACCTTGGGTTCCTGTGTTTCTGGGTAATTGAAATATAGGTGCAGGCATGAACACATTCTCTTTGTTTGAAAAGAATGGTCACTGCTTATCAATATATGTCACTTCTCACAAGTGCCATTGAGCCATTTTGGCTGGTTATTTTAAATTTGTTAGTGTAGCAATGAATGCAGTCGGGATTGTTCAGTAAATGCTACCCAATCACTGAATTGCTTCAAATGGTAGGCATTTTATTTGGGCTCTGCAAGCATGTGTTCAATGAGCACGGTCTTTAATCTGTCTATTGTGAACAGCCAGAGGAACATGGCTAATTTGATCTACCAGTTGTTGGGACGTATAGCTTAGGTACCTGACATTGCTCCAGAATTGAAATTCCAACATGACATTGTTTCACACTGCTACAGTACAAAAGCATGTTCTGCCTACCACATAATGAAGCAATGTGCTTAAACTGTTATTCAATTTTTGAAATACTTTGCCTTTCCAGGATAATTTGAGGTAGACTGTACACTTTTAGGGTTTGAAAGCAGGGGGCTTTTGTTCATTTGAGAGTTTGCATGATACACCGTGAGAAATGATATGATCAGGGTAGCCATGATCCCACAAGCTAGCTTTGATGTATTCTCTTTCTGTGTCAATATACATCATGGGATCTACTTTCTATAAGATTGGTCTTATCAACATCCAATAGGGCTGTAATGCTTTTTACTAATGCAGTTCAAATCATTATTTTTGTTGTGCAAAAAATGAAAGTACTGGTATTGATGTCTCCCAATAGGAAATGGAGAGACCGATGCTGGAATGCTTACCAGCAGCAAAGTGAATCATCACAGACACCATCCCCATCCACCCTGTTACGTTCCATATACTGTAGTTTGAATATCCTGCAATTGCTTTGACAGCTACTGACAAAATGCATATGAGTGTGGAGGTAGATGAGTGAGAGGTTAGGTTAGCAGGTGGATGACAGGTGAATGAGGCAGGCAGAGTGCTGGTGGATGGGTGGGTGCTGGGATGTCAGGTAAGTGGGTGAGTGCGAGTTCTGTTGGATTTGGGAATCTGGCAGGTCTTTGGGAAGAGTGGTTTTGGGTTTCAGGTAAGACCCGTCAGTTTGCATGGACTGTCAGGTTGAGCAGGGTCAGAACGGGGGCTGACAGGTCAGTTGTGGTTGGGTTTGGTGATTGTCAGGTCAGGAGGGCAGGGCTGGAGTTTCATTGCTCTGTTTGGGAGGGTGTATGGTCATGGGGGGTACAGTAAGTTTGTAATTCCAGAGCCTTCCCTGGTTAATTCTACATTTTAAGTGAGTCAGAACCCTCCAAAATGTCAGAATCTAGGGAACTTTTTCAGAGGATTCCAGATTTAAATTAATTGCCCTGAGGAAATTTGAACTTTCCAGGTAATTCCCAGTGTCAGCTGGATCAGGATTTCTGCATGGTTCTGACCTGCAACTCCAAACTATCCTGCAGAAAAAAACTGTGTAACCATTGGAATTTCTGGGCCATTTGTGCCTTTTCCACGTTATTCTATGGCTACATGCAATATCTTGACACATCGACAAAACACACTACTTGATGATATAAATAACATTACAGCTTATACTCTCGCATTCAGGATTAACATGAGGTAAATAGGAGTTAATAGATACTAACTGTAGTTTTAAACGGACAATGTTCATACTTAAGAATGCATTCCAAAAAATTAATATTGTTTTGATGAATAGAAAAGGTTAATACGGCATCTAAAGCTTTCAGTTATTTTTCTTTGTTTGGAAAATGTTCAGCTCAGTCCTCATTTTTATTTTGTTGCGTTGTTGTGTTTTTTTGCAGAAATATTGTGAAGCCATCCAACTGAATTCTGAAGTTGACTACAGGAAAAGACAGCTTCCTGGAGCAGGGAAGCTTTATTATCTGTAAGCTTAAGAAAAAATTCTAGACAGTCTATTGCATGGCGACATGCATGTAGAGTGAACTGTGATTTATCCACCAGAATGTAAAGACCTTCATTGGAATTCAATGAGAAAAACTGACAAATGACTAAGAATCTTAAACTTCTGGTACAGTGCAGCAATATCTCAGAGCAAGAATTAAAATAGCCTCAACACAGCTAACCGAAAACTTGTCAATCATTTTACCCAAAATATGAGGTGAAATAGAGTGAGAAGCATAATGGATATCAGAGTAACAGTATGATATCAGCCTAATGAAAATGCTGGTGGATAATCAGGAAGTGATTAATGGTTGCACTTTATTTCCTTTTCAATTTTCTGTTCTACACTGAAGTTGTGTGTATGTATCTATCATGAGCTTAGTAATAGTGACCAAGCAATAACTTCATGAAAATAAGCATGAGCGCAGTCTCAACAGATTGAAAGCAGTTTCTATAAGTGGATGTTTCCTCTACCATTGTACCTTTACAGTAACCCTGAGTGAACTGCATGACCCAAATGTGCAAAAAGCTCCTACATGCCTAATAAGTGCAGAAGTGGTGTCTGGAATGACCCTTGGCTCAATTCATTATGTTCCTGGGTATCATGAGGCCATTGTCAAACCTGTTTGAATATAGAAACAGGAAAAGGCCATTTTGCTACTTGAACCTGTTTTCTTATTCAATTCAATCATGCTAATCTGTAACCTAACTTGTGAATGTATATCCTCCACCAACTGGAAGGATAATAGAAAGTAGCAGATATATAGGAACACCTTCCATGTTGCACACCACTTGCTATGATCAAAGATGAGATTGCCTAATTTATGTTATGGTCTGATGGGGACCAGTAACTTTTTTTTTTAAGTAGACAAAGGCCGGGTTCCCATGTGCTTGGTTGAAGAAAAAAGGAACAAAATTCCACAGTTTTGAACAAACAAATAAACTTTACTGTATAAAGTTAGAAAAGTAAGATAATATGCTATATATGACAACTTATACTCTCAGTAGAATATACTATATATTTCATCTTACACTCGCAGTAGAACAAACTTCAAACTAACTAGTGTGCGGAAGTGAGGGGATATATGGTAAAATACAGGGAAACAACAAAGTAATGGAACAGGGTAATAATTCGGGTAATAATTACCAGTCTCTGACAGGGAGGGGCATAACATGTAAAAGTGTATCAGCAGATAAGATAAGAGATTGTAAGAATGGTTAAAAAACCGAATTTAAGGACCTATATCACAATGTATGCAGCAATTGTAACATTGTAAGGGATGAATTGTTAGCATAAATGTGTGACCTGTTTAGGTATTGTCGAAACATGGATGAAAATTGACCATGGTTGAGTTTTGAACATGGAAGGTTATTTGACATATTGGAACAAAGCTATAAAAGATGGCAGAGTTATTCTGTTAATTGAGGATTTAAACCATTTGATTAATATTGAGACTTAACCTTAACCTGAAAGATCAAGATGTAGAATCCATTTGTGTAGCGATTTTATTTTTTTTTGTAAAGTAGAGGTAAGAGCTCACTTGTGGCAGTTCCTATGTTCCCTAATAGTAGTTACACTGTAAGCCAGAGCATACAGGAATAAATGTAAGAAGTGCACTGTAGTAATCACGGGTGACCTTAATCTATGCATACATTGGAAAAATAAGATTGGCAAAGATAGCCTGAAAAATGAGTTCATAGAATATCTTTGGGACAGTTCTTTTATGGCAGTACATTCTAGAGTGAATTAGAGGAGAAGGCTATCCCAAACCTGGTAATGTGCAATGGGACAAGGTTAATCAGTAACCCTGTGGTTCAGGAGTTTCTGGTGACAGTGATCACAACATGATAGAATTTAATGTTCAGTTCGAAAGGAAGAAGTATTGGCCATGACCTAAACCTAAATAAAGGTAACTATGAGGGTAAGAGGGAATTTTCTGAAGAAGGATCCCGACCTGAAACGTCAACTTTCCTGCTCCTCTGATGCTGCCTGGCCTGCTGTGTTCCTCCAGCTCCACACTGTGTTGTCTGTAACAATGAGGGTATAAAGTCAGACCTGGCTTAGGTGAACAGGGAAATTACATTTAAAAATAGGTTGGTAGAGTTGCGGTTGCAGACATCTGAGAAGATAGTTGAAAATGTAAGCGAGTGTGAGGTTATCCGTTTTGGACAGGGAAAGGATAGATCGGGTATGAAGTTCTAAGTCATAGTGGTATGATGTTAAGTACAACGGATGTTCAAAGTGACGTGAGGGTTCAGGTCCATAGATCTTCAAAATGCCACGGAAATGTGAAGAAATAAGCATGAAAGCTAGCCTTTATACCTAAAGGACTGGAGGATAAGGATGCAGAAGGTATGCTGCAGCTATTCAAAACCCTGGTTAGACCCCATTTGGAGTACTGACAGTAAATCTGGGCATCACATCTTAGAAATGATATATTGGCCTTGGAGAGAATAGAATGTAGGATTACAAGAATAATACCTGGACTTTAGACAATAAGTTATGAGGAGAGATTATACAAGTTAGGCCTGTTTTATCTAGAATTTAGAAGGGTAAGGTGTGATGTCATTGAAGTCTTCAAGATATTAGCAGGAAAATGCAGGGTAGTTGAAAATCAACCTTTTTCGCTGGTTAAGGATTTTAGAACCAGGGGGCATAGTCTAAAAATTAGGTCGGACCATTCCGGAGAGAAATTAGGAAGCACTTGTAAACACGAAGGATGGTAGAGATTTAGAACTCTTCTGCCACATGCAGTAGTTAATGCTAGGTTAGTTGAGATAGGTAATTTTTTTGTTAAGCAAAGCTATTAACGGATATAGGCAAAATGCAGGTATATGGAGTTAGGCCATAGATCAACCATGATCACATTGAATGGTGTAACAGGCTTGATAAGCTGAATGGCCTATTCCTGTTCCAATGTTCCTGTGATGACAAGGTGTAGAGCTGGATGAACACAGCAGGCCAAGCAGCATCAGAGGAGCAGGAAGGCTGACGTTTCGGGCCTAGACCCTTCTTGTGTTCCTCTAACCCTTAGAAAAGATTTATCCCACTGAGAAAGAAAGACCTATGGAAAGGATATGTCATCTATGGGTAAATAAGGAAGTTAAAGGTGATGTTAAATGGAAAGAAACATTACGTCAGAATATGGTGAACACTGTTGAAAACCAGCAAAAAATGACTAAACAGATAATGAAGATGAAGAAAGCAGAGTTTGAAAGAAAGCTAGCTTGTAATAAAACATCAGATAGTCTGGCTTTTTACAAGCATTTGAATAGGAAAAGACTAATTAAAGCTAGTGTTGGTCCTCTAGAGTGCAAGTCTGGAGAATTGGTAAGAGAAGACAAAGAAATTTGGAGATTTTATCAGGGATTTTGTGTTTTTCTTCATGGAAGTAGTTTTAGAAAGCTTCTCAAAGATGATTGAAGATCAAGAGGTCATAGGGAGGGATGAACTTAAAACAATTACTAAGATAAACAGGGAAAGGATTCTATGGAAAATTATTGGACCGAAAGCTGAGAAATCCTCAGGACTAGATGGCCTGCATCCTTGGGTCCTAGAAGAGGCGGTTGCAGAGTTTGTAAATGCATTGGTTATAATCTTCTAATGTTTCTTAGATTCTGGATGGGATGTAATGGAAACCAGCAAATATAACACTTTCACTCAAGAAAGGAAGGAGGTTGAAAACAGGAATCTGTAGGACAGTTAGCCTATTATCTATCACAGGGAAGGTTTTATAATACATTATTAAGGGGATCATAGCAGGACACTTCGAAAATCACAATGTGATTAGGCATAGACAATGTTGCTTTGTGAAGCAGTTTACTGATAATGTAACATACATGGTGGATAGAGGGGAACCAGTGACCTGGTATACTTGGTTTGCTAAAAAGCATTTGATGAGATGCCATAGATTGCTGCACAAGATAAAAGCACATGTTGGAGGTAATATAATTCTAATAGGAATTACTGAGGAACAAAGGGACCTTGATGTACAAGTCATAGGTGCTTGCAGGTGTCATCAGATAGATTAGAGTGGTTAAGAAGGCACACGGATGCTTGCCTTCATTAGCTGGGGCATAGAATGTAGGAGCAATGAAGTCTTGTCACAACTTTATAAAACATTGGTTAGGCCACAGATGGAGTACTGTGTGCAGTTCTGGTCACCACACTATCGAAAGGAAACGATTGCACTGGAAAGGGTACAGAGGAGATTCATCAGTTTGTTGCCTGTGATGGAAAGTCTCTGTTATGAGGACAGACTGGATGGGCTGGGTTTGATTTCCTCAGAACAGAGGAGGCTGAGGGGGAATCTGATTCGGGTATACAAAATTTATGAGAGGCGTAGACAGAGTAGATCGTGAGAATCTGTTCCCCGGCAGATGTATCTAAGACCAGGGAAATAAGTGTAAGGACAGGAGTAAGTGGTTTAGGGTGGTAGAAATATGGAACGTGTTCCTGAGAGGATAGTAGAGTCAAGTACTCTCCCAACATTTAAGAAGCATCTGAATGAGCACTTAAAATGCCAGGGCATAATAGGCTACGGATCAAGTGCAAGTAAATGGGATTAGTGTGGTTTGGTATTTGTGGTCAGCATAGACATGGTGGGCCGAGGGGGGTACCTGTTTCTATGCTATGTGACTCTATGACTCTATAACTTTAAGATTGGAGTGCAGTTAAAAAATATACACGTGGGATTTTGACAGTTATTACAAAGAGACACCGAATGTAAAATCAAATAAATTACTATAAATACCTATTTTGTTGGAGCTTTTCATCTTGCACTCATAAAGACCATTCACAACAAATACAAATGTAATGGGGGAAACAAAAGCATTTTATACTTAATAAGAGGAGACTGGCCAGCAAGTAGACATTGGTAGAGGCATTCCCATGAATGTTCTGGCAATTAGATGAATGACAAAGTTTGTCTAAATGACTAAACCAGGCAGTTTTTATTTATGATTTGTCAAGTTTAGTTTGAA